TGGTGGATATATATTTAGGATTGTCATCTCTTCCTCTTGGATTGTTCCCTTCACAAGGATGTAGTGACCATCTTTATCTCTCTTAATTAGTTTTGGTTTGAAATCAACTTTGTCTGCAAATAAGATTGCTGCCCCTGCTTTTTAGGGGGTTCCTATGGTGTGGAGAACTCTTTTCCATCCTTTTACTTTCAGTCTGAGTTTCTTTTGCAATTAGGTGTGTTTCTTGTATACAGCATATTGTTGGATTTTGCTTCTTAATCCATTCTGTCAGTCTATTTCTTTTGATTGGTGAATTGAGCCCATTAACATTTATGGTTATAATTGATAGGTATTGATTCATCCTTGTCATGATGTTTTACCTTTATTGACTCTTTTATTTTTTATTTTTTCCCCCTTTCCCTTTAGTGTCTTACCTTGCCTGGCGGCTTCCCTGTTTTGGGCCTCATGGAGTTGTGACCTTCATTTTCTTTTTGTAGGATATTGTTTAGAATTGCTTGTAGTGGTGGTTTGGTGTTCATGAAATTTTTCAGGTGTTCTTTGTCATGGAAGTATATAATTTCCCCATCAATTTTGAAAGACAATTTTGCAGGATACAACAGTCTAGGTTGGAAGTTATTTTCTTTTAGGGGTTGAAATACTTCACTCCAGGCTCTCCTTGACTTGAGGGTTTTTGTTGAGAAGTCTGCAGTGATTCTGATGGACTTTCCTTTGCAGGTGAATTGTTTCTTTTCTCTAACTGCTTGTAGGATTTTGTTCTTCTGTTGGGTTTCTCGGATCTTGACTATTGTATGTCTAGATCTAGATTTTTTGATCCTGGCTAGTTGGAGTTCTATATGCCTCACTTATCTGTATGTCCAGTTCTCTACCTCTGTCTGGGAAGTTTTCCACTATTACTTCTGTGAACAGTTTTTTAAAGTCAATTGTGCTTTCTCTTGTCATTTTATCAACTCCTATCAGTCTTATATTATTCTTCTTTGCATCTTCTAGCAGCTGTTGGATTGATTTCTCATGGTCCCTTAGTCTTTTGAAGAAATCTCTGTTTTCATGGTCTTTAACTACAATCCTATCTTCTGTATCTGATATTCTATCTTCAGATTCCCTTAATCTGCTGTGGATGCTTTCAATGGAGTTTTTAATCTCCTGAATATTTGTTTGAATCTGTTTCATGGATTCATTTCTTTTTATGTTGGGAGATCATGGTTTCCATTTCTTTCTTATGCTGGGCATTCATGGCTTCCAGCATATTTCTGAGCTCATCCACTTTTTTTTATCTGTTTCTGTTCTAGAGCCTGTAATCATGTCTTTCACTCTGCTCACCATCTCTGTGGTTATCTGGGAGATTATTTCTGCTTTGAATTTCTCTAGAGCCTCATTCATTTGTTTTTTTACTTCCTCTGCTATCAATTCAGGTTGTTCAAGTGGTTGGTTATTGGACTTTTCCACCTAATTTCTCCCAGGGTTTACCCTTAGTGGGGTGGAATTCTGAGTTTTTTCCTTGCTTAAATGTCTTCTCATTTTTGTTTTTGGTACTGTCATTGGTTTAACTCCTGGGTTGATACTTTGAAATTATTTATTGTAAGTATCTTTGTTGCTTACAATTAGAAAACTTATGGAATGATTGCTTCTCAGAGGTGTCTTCCAAATATAGCTGGTCTTTAAGTTTTGAGTCCCTAATGACTCTGAGGCTATCTCATTTTTATTATACCAGGAAGGATCACTGGCTAAATCAATAACAACAGCTTAGCCCAAGTGATACAATCAGCAACACCATTGCATCAAGTACATCTTAGAAAATGACATTTTGTGGTAGTTATTAATCTATCACCTTTAACTGTGTGAATTAAATCAAGATCGAGGACCAACTCAACATATGTTTATAGTGAATAAACTCTTCAAAACATCAACTTTACCCTTTGTGATAGTTAGTTAGAAGGAGTTGAGGAGGGAGGGATAGATATGTGGTAGGATAGGGGAAGGTTAGCAGTGAGGACAGAGAACACAGGCAAGAAGGAAAAAGAGAATACTAGGAAAATAAAGAAGAACTCTGAATGAGGGCCAGAACAGGTACAAAAAACGAGATGAATGATTTGGGACAGCAAGAGAGTAAGTGTAAGAGAGAGAGAAAGGAAAGAGAAAAGAAAGAAGAAAAAAAGGAGAGAAAAACAAAAATTAGCAAAAAGCAGGAGAAAAAAATTAAAGATAAAAGGAGAAAAAGAAAAGCAAAGAGAAAAATCAAACCAATGATACTAATTTTGGAAATAAAATATAAAAATGAAAATGAAGGGCCTCTTTCAGGGTATGTCTCTGTTGTTACAATAGACAACATGGGTAGCAGTGTGCAGATATAAGTCAATGAGTCTCGGTAAGCCAGTCACAGACCTGTGAGATTCAGTCAGATTTCTGTCTGCAAGTCCCAAGTAGAGCTCCTTGTCTTCTTGTAGGGTTGAACTCTGCAGGGTTGTACTGCAGGTTCCAGCTGCATTTTCCCTGAAGACAGTCTCGGTTCTGATGGGAGGTGATTATGACTCTCACTTACCCAGTACACCGGTGGTGGTCAGGTGTCTACCGTGTCTTTGTAGTGTGGAACCAGGTGGCTGCACAGCCAACAGGGCAGAGGGGGGGGGGGGGGGGCGCTGTCCAGTGGATCGCAGTGGGCATGGGCTGGATCAGCATGTTTCCTGTGGCCAGGGACTCTGCCCTCACTAAAACTTTGTACATTTTAATCAATATTATTTTATTATACTCATCCACAACTTCTTATAACCAACATTCTACTTTTTGTTTCTATGAGTTTTGCTTTTCTAGGTCTCATATATAAGTGAAGTCACGCAGAATGTCTCTCTGATTCTACCATATTTTACTTAGAATAATGTCCTCCAGATTCATCTATGTTGTCACAAATATTAGGATTTTGCAGTTATTCTAAAGGCTATATAATATTACATTCTAAATACCTGAGAACTTTCCTTTATTCATTCATCCATCAGCGGGCACATAGGTTGTTATTGTATCTTGGCTATCTTGAACAACGCTTCAATGAATATGGAAATGCAACTTTCTCTTCAAGGTAAAGGTTTAATTTTCTTTAGGAGCAATCTAATAGGTGTAATATGTTAATTAAAAGATGTACCATTGTTTACCTTTATGTAATTACTTATATAGTTTGAAAAAAAATAAAATAAATTACTTATATAGTTTGATTTAAATCTACAATTTTACTGTTTTCTTTTCTCAGTTTCTACTTTATTCCTTTAGTTTTCTTTTTTCAGTGTCTTCTTTATTCCTTTCTCTTTCCTTTTCAGCCTTCTTTTGCATTTTTATTTTTATTATTAAAATTTCCATTACCTTGTAAATTATACATTCTATTATATTTTCAGTGTTTGCCAATAAAAAATTTATTCATGACATTGCAGTGTAAGTTATTGATACTTTCACATCCATTTAATGCTAGCATCTCAGAGAATATTTCAGGAACCCATCTTCCATGTTTGTATTATAGTTTTGATGTATCTTAAGTCTATATTCATATTACATATTCTGTAAGACATTACAGTTATTATTTTATGCAGTCAATATGTTTATATTTGCCCAAATATTTACAGTTTTCAGTGGTCCTTAATTCCTTTGTGCATTTCATTTACTTTTTAGAATTTTAAAATTTTTTCCCCTAAGATTTCCATTTTGTATATATTGTAATGCCTATTGATGATTTAGTCTCAGTTTTTATTTGCTGAAAACATATTCATTTTACGTATGTTTTTCAAACATATTTTATTAGGTATAGAAATCTAGATTGAAATTACATTATTTTAAAACTATGAAGTTATCTCACTGGCTTCCAACTTCCTATTTCTGATGAGAAGCCATGTGTTGGTCTTTGTTCTTTCAAAAGTAGTATCTTTGTATTGTCTGCTACTTTTGAGATTTTTCTCCCTGTCTTTAGTGGTCTCACCAATTCAACTATAATGGACCATATATATATGTGTGTATATATATGTGTGTGTGTGTGTGTGTGTGTGTGTGTGTGTATTGTTTCAGTGTTAGTTACTTTTTTCTCATTACTAAGACAAAAATAACCAACACCCAAAGTTAAAGGGAAAAAGGTTTATTTGGCTTACATTTTGTAGAGGTTTCAGTCCATAATCAGCTGGCTCCAAGGCAGAGTGGCACCTGGCAGAGAAGTATTGCAGAGGAGAGACAACATGGCCTGCACAAAGTAGCAAAAGTAATAAGAGAACCTTAACAGTGTCTTTCTGCTCCTTTTATCTTACTCGGATTGTTGGGATTAGGGAGGTTCCAAACCAATCACTCTAGTATAGTGGTTTAGTAATCACATGCCCTTAATCTTAGCATCACATATTCTAGATTTAGATTTAGCTACCTTCGAAAAAGACTGCATGAGACTTTTGAGGGGACATCTAGACACAAGCCACAACAGCTTCTTGTTTGCTGAGATTCTTTTATTTGTGTATTGAACATTCACATTTGTTTTTAAAATCTCTCAACTACAATTTCTTTACAAGTATCCTTTTTCCATTTTATAGGCATGTATGTTAGAAGCCTTGATAGTTCCCCTCATGCCTGTTGCTCTCTTTTCAATAAATTATTATTCTTTTATGCTTCCATTTGGCTATTCCCTACTGACTTGTCATCTAGTTTATCCAAACTTTTGCAAAACAGTTTCTTATTAATTGTATATATTGTATTTTTGTTTCTATAACATTCATTTTACTCTTATCACATATTGAATATCTCCACATGATACAAACTTTTCTGTTTCTTTCTTTAGTTTATTGAAGACATTAAACACAGTTTAATTCAAATCACTGACTTTTGATTCTAGGGTCAGATCTCCTGAAAGTTTGACCTTATTTTTTTAAATGATTGACTATATGATTTTATCTCTCTGCCTGCCTAATGATTTTTTATGAATAATGTAGAAACCATAAATGTTGAGATTATAAATGCCATCTTCCTGAAAGTTAAAGATATCATATTATAGTGATACATGTATGTTCATGTTTATAGCAGCAGAAATTATAATAGCTAAATGTTGGAAAAAAGCTATTTATTCACCAACAGATAAAGGAAAAAGAAAATGTGGTATTTGTATACAATAGAGTCCTACTTTTCCATGAAGAAGGATAAACTTGAGTCATTTGTAGAAAATGGATGCATTTTGAGACAATAATGTTAGGTGAAATAAATCATACACACAAGCTTAAATATTGCATAGTTTCTCTTATATGAGAAACCCAAAGTATAAATAAAGTGCAAAATGAAAGAAAAATAATAGGGAACATTTGCAAATGTGGAGGAAATCTAGTGATGTAGGGAAAGAGAGGAAGTGGATGAGAAGCAGGGGAGGAAAAGAGGAATTAAAAACAATTAAGATGTATTATATGCAAGTACCAACTCCCCACAATGAATGTAATCATTATGTACTTCAAAATATACTAATAAAAATTTAATCATTTTTAAAAAGGAAAAAAAGATTATAGACATTATTTTTCACCAAAGAATGAAACAAATGGAGTGATTACTTTAATCAAATAAGAAACAGAACCAGGAGAAAACTGCATTGAATATTTGTTAAGATTCAGTCGATCTCTACTTTGTCTCTATTATTTGTGTGTACCACAGAAGGATCTTTTAATTTAGGGCTGTGTAAGCAAGTATCTCACTGCTGGGAGCATAAGAATTTCCATTCTGCTTCTAGAGATTTTCAGTTTAACCTTCATCTGTGCAGTTTTTCAATGCTAAATATCATGAGAGGAAGTCTGGTTGTTCACTAGCCAATAGTTGTACTCTTTCTTATCATTTCCCCCAAACAATTCACTGTATTCAAAATACATGGGGAAAATCCCTGGAAGGAAAGCTAATGCTTCATTCACAGTATTAATTCAGCACTCTCTCTAGAACCTTCAACAATCATATTGTCATCATAATTTTTTCTAGCAAGGAGACTTCTGTATTTCTACCATTATTTTCTAAAAATTTCAACTTAATTCCTCAATCATCCACTCTGCCCTCTATAAATTAAGCTATATCCATAGGAGAGAACCATGTCATGGGTTTTAAGCAATTTAAGTCCACAACCATGGATGACTGCTAAAAGTTCTTTTGGCTTGTCTGTCCCATGGTGTTGGTCCTCTCTTGAGAAGGAAACTCAGATCATCAGGATCTGGAACGTACTCAAAATTAGCACATACTTCAAGGAAAATGACAACTACAAATTCTTAGATCACCTATGAATATTTTTTTGAACTTACTCTTAAAATTTGGTCTCTTGAATCCTCCTTGCACCTACAGCTTCTTAATACAGTTAAATATGATTTTTTAAATTTTTCTGATATTTCTAAGTGTTCATACTGGCACAGTTAGCTTCCTGTAAATTGTTTCATCTTATATAGAATTAGAAGTGTCCAAAAAGCTCTTCATTTTTACTTTGAATGTCACCATGGAGGCAAGTTTTCAGTTAGAGTTTTTGTTCATCCCTACATTATAGTACACATGTCCCTATACTCTGTAGAGTACTAAGTTTGTGACACCTATGATAAAAGAAACATAAGGTAGAAATAGTTGGAATATATATTCTTGCCTTTTCCCTGATCTTATAGAAAAAACAATTACATTTTCACCATTAAGCCTGGTATCATCTTTGGGAATTTTAAAAAGATTATTGCTGTCTGTTAAAATATGTTTTATCTTTCGTACCTATGCAATTTCTATCAAGCCTGACTCCTCTGGGATATCTTGCCTGACTTGCAAAAGATGCCTACTTTCAGTAAATTCCTTGATACTACCATCCTTCTGTGCAATCCTCCACAACAATAAATATTTACAAGTAGTTCATATGTTTCAAAATAAAAGAACATTTCCATCATCTGAACTATTTCAGATAGGGGTAGAGGGTCAGGAAAGAGTGGGTTTTGATGATTGGTATTTCATCTCATCTGTATAATTGAAAAGTAATGTTAAAAGACTTTGATAGCTTCAGATGGCATAAGCAAATGTTTGAAAGAAGGAGCTCTTTGACTATTTTGGAAAATATATTTCATATGTCTCCCTAATGTTTTTTGTATCTCTTTAAACTGAAGATGTAATGAAAAAAATAATAGTATATACAGAAGTCAGTTAGCAAGAAATTTATCTTGCTGAATTTGACTGTTAAGTTGTTCAGCTGAAAAGACTGCTTCTGGCTGAACTTGAAATCCCCTAAGCTTCTGAGTTGAGTAAAAAATCTCACTATTCTACTAATCATTTTTATATTCCTAATGCAGGCAACAGTATCTCTCTGAGTCCCAAAGGCAAACAGCAAGTCACCTGAAACACATAATTTAAGTATACAGCTACTAATTTGATGAAATGATAACTTTTTAAAAAATAGCGTATGGCAGTATTGATGATATTCCTGCAATAGCATTTGAAAACTCAGATACAATATCTTGATATTAAATGTTTAGATATTTATCAGAGTACCACCACGTGATTTATTTTTAACACTCATTCAGTGTCCTCCAGCATTGCTCTCAAGACTGTTTTTAGCTCTGTAATGAAAACTCTAGATCTTAAAATCTTGAACTGTCATCACCACACCATATCAGAAATATGAATCTTAAGGTTTAAAGTAAGAGAGAAACACTTCTGGGTTTATATCATAAAACTCTTGCCTGCGAATCATATAAAACTGGTAGGGGCAGCACTTCAGTAATTTAGGAGACTTGCTGCCATCCTGCTCTCATCAGCACACAGTAGACTCATCCTTCTCAACTATATGCTCCACGTATGCAGGAAACAATAATAAATATTGGTGTAACTAGTAGAGAGAATTTTTAACTAAAATGTGGCTTTTGAAAATGACTTATGATGGAAAGTCCTAAGAAAATCCTATTTAATTTGAGACTATTGTAAAATCACAAATAGCCTTGAGATAATAAAAGTGAAAACCTCACTAGAATATGCCATTATCCATTTTTAAATGCTTTGGAAAGAGCTGGCTGTAGTTGAATAATATCACCATTTCTAAAATGATAGACACTGAGGCATAATTGTGGTACTTTGCTA